CGGTAAGAAGTGCTGTACAGTGTACAAAACTGCTATGCGTAAAAAAGCCACATGGTTATTCTTTGAGTAGCAAATTTTTGTTCATTTGAGAAGATCGTAAAAAGGAAACTTTCACAGGTTAGAATTTAAATTCAATTTAATTTCTTTGGTTTTTTTGAAGATTTACGTATTCGAGTCGCCACCGATCCTAATACCCAGCATAATCAACCAAAGCTTCCTACATCTTTTCACGACCCACTAAGATTCCTTTTGCGACTCATCAGTGGGTCGCGACCCATAGTTTGGGAACCGCTGGTGTGGAGTATAGAATGTTGAGCAATTTTTTTTTAAGTGGATTTAAAGTATTCGGTTCAAGATGACGCACATCCTGAACCCTAATCTGGTAAACATACAATGTTCAGGTTGTGCGCCATCTTGGTACGAATAGTCCAGGAGCGCCTTTTTGTTAAAAACAATTATTTCATAACTACATAGTTTAGTTTGGCATACATAGTAACATTGAATCTTCTTACAATGTCAGAAATTCAATTTTAAGAGAATAAATGGTAGTTTATTTCCCTAACAAGCCAAGATCCATCGACAGCATCTAGCCACTTTCTATTGCGCTCTTCAAACTACATTTGCGTTGCCGCACTCATTTCGTTTTCCTAGTTTAAGCTTAGAGACTTGGGAAATATTTTATAAGTTGAATTGGATTGGAATATTTGACCTCATCTTTCACTCCGAACAAGGCCATGTAAAACCATCCACTGGTATCTAAAGATGTGTAACGTGTTTTCTTTTGGAAGAATTGCAACCTTTCAGTGCTGCATTGACTTTGGCAAAATTAATATATCCTTGTGGAGATAGAAGATATGCGTATGCGAAACCGAGATGTGCACCTGTTATGCCAACATAGTTGAGTCAATCGTTTTGAATACTAGTACATCACACACATTTTCCTGCGTGCTTCGGTGTACGTAGTAACGCGCACATTTTCAAATTCCACTTGATTATTGAGCTATAGGTTTTTGACGAGCTTTTGTGTATGATTTCATTCCATAGAATTTGTATGCTGTTCTAAAGAATACTAGTTTCAGATTTTTCATTCATTCAAACCGCGTGTTGAAGGTAAGTTTTGTAATATTGCGTGTTGTGATGGTTTCCAACATCCTTAAATCGGTGATGCCAGTAAATCGCTAATACAGAAAAATCAGTAACATCTGCAATAAAAACAGCAGTACCCACTCGAATGACAGCTTGGTGGATACTCTGAGTATCTGCTCCATCGCGTGCCTCTTACAGTCTTACCAGTTTACATGAGTGCCAATTGGTAGCTAAGCTCAGGCAGAGACAAAAAGTTTCGGACTGCAGTTGGCGTGACGAAATGTTTTTAAATATATATTCTACAATAAGATTATTTGATTGCATACTACTGAAAGTTCCGCCTTATATGTTTTATTCCATTGCACTATTCCTTCACTGATATTCGATAATATAACGCTCATCTGACATAGTTCTTGAAGTGTGTAGATGGGTATAATCTTTTCCACGCTGTTCAGATGGGAATGCGCGAATATATATAAGAATTGCTAATATTGGTTTGCAATGCGATGAAATTCCATCTTGGCATTTCTGCTTCTCGCAATTGCTGCGTATACTTATCGGGGAAGTTCTGTGGCGTGGTTATCAAATGAAAAAAAAACATGGGAGTATTTTTTCTACTTCTCTACAACTATCCAACCATGACATTTTTTGAAAACTTTTTTCCATGCAACCTTTTTTTAAAACATCCCCAACAACCACAATTAATTCTGTTATTAAACTTCCGAAACAAACACATAAAATCATCAACAGATGCATATCCCCAAGTAGATATTGCTGAATTGATCTTTATTTTACCATTTTTCATGTAATTCTTTTTGGTAAACCTGTTATCTATCGTAAATACAGCACATTTGACAATGTTGTAGTGTGACTTTTTTGGCCCCACATTTTTGATATTTTTAGTTAGAGCTCTTGGGGCTCTGTCAAACAAAGTTACATACAAAATATTGGTTGTAAATTGCAAAACATGATCATGTTGTTAAAATAACTTGGCATTTTATCACCCGTATATCATTCATTGTTGAGAATATTGATAAAATCATAAAATCTAAAAATCAGTTTTCGTGAAATTTTTGTTGTAGCTGAATTCCAGGCACAGCATGACAACAAGCAAGAGAAGCACAGTCGTCTTTCTTAGTTTATGACAGGGTTTCTTAAAAGGGGACCCCGTCCTGCTTGGAGGCCGCTGATCGGTTATCTGGGAGCACGAACAAACATATGGAAATGCGAATATATATTAACAATGTATTTTTATAGAAGAGAAAGAGCAAAAGTGTTGAGAGTCTTTAGCAGTTTGAAAAGCATTGGCATGGAACATAAGAATGAACTACATTCTTTCCCAGGTATATACTATAAAATGTAGCAATTTTCTCATTCTTGTTCTCGTGATATCATTATCTTTCACTGCGTCGTCGTGATCATCCCGCTGCATAACAATTCTCGGTGCTCCCGAAGTATGCGAACCAAGATGGCGGACATCGGAACGTAACATGGGTAACAGGTTAGGGTTAGGCGATAATTTTTTTCCAATTTTCCTTATTTTAGTCCTATTATTAGTTCGAAGACTAGCCAAAAGCCTCCCGTAGTATTTATACCTAAAATTATGGCCTAACCCTAACCTAGTACACATATTACTTTCTGATGTCCGCCATCTTGGTTCGCATACTTCGGGAGCCCCCAATTCTCGATAACAAATAATTGACTGTTCGCCACCGGGTGTATATCCACTTGAACCACTGGCGACTGCATTAGCAGGCTTGTATTGTTAATTGCAACAAAAACGTGTATTTTTAAATAGTACTCTTTATTTTACGCGTATGTTTCGACAGTATTTCCATATACTGTATATGGGTCGCGACCCAAAGCTGGGCTCAACAAATACCTAAAAGTTATTGATTTTATTTCCTAGTAAATTTGGTGCTTGCATAGTTTGTGCACCAAGATTGTGCACAACCTGAACATAGTATTGTAACAGGTTAGGGTTCAGGTTGTGCGTCATCATGATGCACAGGTTTGACGAAAAACACTAATACAAATATCGAGCCGTAAAAAAAATTGCTCAAGGCTACAAACTCCACACCCATGTAGAAATGATGGGCAATGACCCCAAGATGAATAATCACGAATAAAAAAACTTTATGTCCGAAATCAAACTTGGGCCAAAAAGGTCCCCTTATCTGCCGGACTATATGTGACAGCGCGTGAAACCCTAAAGAAATCATAATCGATCATATATAAACGCTTCATTTTACTTAAAATTACATAACTTTATATTGTACTTTGAATAGCTTTATTATTCTGATATTGTCTTCGTGTGTGAAGTCTTTGTGTACATTACGATACACGTATTGGTTAAACAAAGTCTTTGTAAATGATTATATTACCAGAGTTCGTCGCAGTTTGTTAATTATTAAAAAATTGCACGATTTTAAAGTAACAATCCAGCCGTTTGTTGATCATAGCTTATAGGGTACACAGCTTGAGTACACCTTGACGTGTCACATTATACTATGGGATATTTTCTTCAGTGAACCTCATCTTCAGTCATCAGAGGTATGTCAGTAGTCATATCAACATGTGGTAATAAAATGTAATTTATTTAATAATATAATCATATTGAATCTACTGTTTGAATTTTGTAAATAACTAGTAGTATATATGTGAAATTAGACGAATGAATATTTTCAAACTACCTACATAAAAAGATGAGGGCAAAAGTATACAGATTTTTATAGTAATTTAACATTTGTTGTAGTAATTACACATTTTTATACCAGTTATGTTTGAAAAGTAGTTACAGCCTAGTTTGTCATTTACAGCAGTGATTTTCAACCGGTGTTCCGTGCAGACTTGCATGTGTTTCGCGTCAGATTGTTGTCCCCGAATCCTTTTCAATTTTATGATAACGAAAAATAAATTCGAATCCACTAATCGTGTAATTAGTTTTTAAAAAGATTATGTTATGCTTAATAAATGTCCCCCTAAGAACAGACTTCTTAGTTTATTTCCGGAATAGTGGCTAATAAGCAGAATGTTAACGGGAATGTAACTATTTAAATTTAATCAGCTGCTCAAACGCCATTTTCCTTCTGTAATGCTACGCTGAGGCGTCATTGATCAAATTCTACTATGTTTTCAAAGTTAAGGTTTGGACCAAGCGGTTATTTTGTCCTATTATAAAAAAAAAATATGGTTAAAGTTGGATCACGAATGGGAACTTGGGTATTGATTTTGAAACATTTTGCAAACGTCAGCTCATAGTAGCCTACACTCTTAACAAAAGAACTAAAATTAGTCAATGGTTGGAGTACAAGGAGAAGTTGTCAAGCTTGAAAGAGTTGTGTTATTTATGTCAATAATTTTAGGACACTGGTACAAACTGATAAATGACACATAAAACCAGTAAGTCTGAATGGCCGCCTAATTTCAAAGCCCAACTTAATTTCCGATTGGTCATCAATACGTAATAAACATATCTACGCTCAGAGAAACAATACCGTCCATCGACAAGGCGAACTCTGGAATACCAGAATCTCGTTTTTAGGTAAATTGACACTATAAGAAGTATGCAGTTAGCTATTTCGAGCAGTTCATCAACGCTACCCATGATACCGACAACCGTTTGTTGGCGTTTCCTAAATCCTAGCCAAAATAGAGGGTTCGTGCTCATCTAAACCAGCTCATATATCATGTTAATATTACATTGCTATTAACGGATACGAACAACCAGTTTTAAATAATTTTCATTGGTATTTCCGCTTACTTATGTCTCCGGTCATAAATTTGTACGTCTTTTCACAACTGGAGTCATAAGCCACTGGTCATGTTGTAATTTCATTGTAACGCTAAAACTGATCGAGATTAACAACTATTTATTTTGTTCTCAGTTTAATTGCATATATACGTTTTCAAATATGGTCCGCGTAAAAGTAGTAAATAATGAGGCGGATCTGCGAGCGATTTCTTCGAAACTAAAGGAAGGAAAAAAAAGAACTTTGGATATAAAACTCAATAAACCAGTAAAGCATGAAAATTACAAAGAATTGAACTCTGTTATAGAAAAATGTAGCGGATTCAAAAGTGTATCCGTGAGACATTATTTCTCAAGAGGAATAGACTTGAGGGGATTTTTGGAAGCGCTGTCTAAAAATTCAGACAAAAAAGTAAGTATATAAAAAAGAGTTAAGCTTTTAATTTCAGTTGAGATTATGTTTTGCTTCCGCGTGACGTCCCCGAGTTATAGCTCTGACCAAATCCGCCCAAGGATCACGAACCACTTGTTTCCATGTGGTATTAATCATATGAGAAATCCTTATAATTCACTCCCTTCACTTTTGTTTAACTCTAGTAATCTTTACAGCAACCTTCTGTTATTTCTAATATTGTATGTCCTGGATTTTCAGTATGCTGTTGATGTTTGTACTTTAGAACTACACCAGCCTAAACTGACCTTACTCAGTTATAATAACTAGAACTGTTATGAGTTGATGAAATATATTCTCGTCTTGATGCAATATATTAGTTATCAATATGACTTAACTAAAACTCGACAAGTTCGCGCAGATTTTGTCTAGGTATACATATCTATTAGTATAAATGTATTTGCCAATCAAGCATTTTGTTTCTAATCCGTTTATCATCATTCTCTATAGGCATATCCATTGGACATTACGGACAATGAATACGCCGATTGCTGCACATCCTCATTAGTAGCGTTAATCAGGAAGAAGTCTCTTTCTGCTTTGAAATTGCCAGACAATGTTCCAGAACAAGATCTAGATCGTATATTGACTGAAATTAAAGAGAGTTCTCGAGAGGTATGATAATTTCAGCCATGTATTCAGTATTCTGGTAACTTAGAGAGATTATTTTGACTCAAACCATCTTACTAAAGATTCGGAATGATTCGAGTCATCTAAACGAAATACCTCGACTCGCGATCAAAACTTGACTTAACTCGAGACTGTTTGAAGGTAATCGAGTCTCAGGGTGTTCCAAGGTTGTCGGCCTCGCGGGCCACATTATTATTTTTGTATTGTTCGTGGGCCACAATAGTGCCAAGAATGGGTAAACAGTGCAATACAAAACAAACACTTTTATAGTCCAAACACATTGATCATTGTTTATCATTTATCATGATAAAACATGCAAAAACCACAAAAAACTCACTAAAACCTGCAAAAGTAGAAAATGCCGTTGTCACTGACAAACCTTGCAGACATATCAAGAAAGCATTGTGGTATTTTCCCTCCCATATCCAGTCGAAAATCTGTTTGAATTGATCAGCTTTCTTTTCAAGCTCATGTTTACAAAATAACTGCAGATGGATTAATTACCGAATTTCATCAAATTTGAGATACAGGAGCGTAATTACTGAATTTTTTAACATATATGCAGCGTTTTTTGTAATACTGGTTGCAAAAAACACCGGGCAGAAATTATATTGTTTGGCATTAACACTAATATTTAGTTATCAGGATAGCCGACCTAGGCTAATATATTCCTCATTCAATTTGTGTTTTTTCTATGGACCTTATTTTTTTAGCATATATTCCCGACCAACAAGATAGAAAGCCAGTTAACAAATTAGACTATCCAAGAACATCATTCAACTTCGCTAGTTTCCTCAGCTAGCCATAACACTAGTCTATTCAGTGATGTAACAATATATCAGAAGATTTCTCTGTTTATTTTTATGATTTTATGTGTCGAAACAGCAACAAGACTTGTGACTCGGCAGTGCAACGACTCGAATCTGGACTCAATTTCTAATATTTGCTAGATTTTACTCTTCTTTCGATCAGTGATTATCAATCGGGGTTTCGCGGCACCGCAGTGTTCCGCAAGTTATCATTCGAATAGGAGAGTTTATTTTATCAGATTTGTCAAGCTATTAAGTATGCTTTTCAATATTAAACTTGCTCTCTGTGAAGATCGTTTGTTTGGACAGTAATAGGTTTGCTCATATATATACTGTAATTATAGTTTTTACAATCAAACAATAAAAAACAATTACCCTATTGCACAGGGGTTTCTCTGTCCTCTTGAATGTTTCTTAAGGGTTGGTTCCACCCAACCAAAAAGATTGAAACCCCTGTTGTAGTCTGTAATGACTTGCAACTTTCTGACTTTCAGATGAAGTTCTTGAAGATTTCCAAAGGCCCCATTTTGGATACGTCGATAGGCATACCCCAACACTTGCTTAAAAATGGGAAAATCCTTGATCTACTTGATCTTTCTGATTGTATACTTACTGATGAGAAAAAGACATTGTTGCTCCGTTCCAGAAAGACTAGATTATTCAAGGTATGGCGTGTTAGAATTTTTTTTAATATTGTCTCGGTTTCCACTCTGCGTTTAACTGTGCTAATATTGCATAGTATGTTTATATTCCAGAACTTCCATATTTGTTCTCATAACCTAGGCCAGGGCTAATCAACTGGCGGACCGCAACTAATTTTTTATTTTTGATTATTGGCCTCACTTTGGATATGTGAAAGTTTCCTTTTTAAATGACTTTTATATTTTTAATGGTTATTTTTATATTTTGCTCATATTTGCGCCTAACATATATGCAACGAAGTGTAACGCCATAATAAACAAAGAGAATGGATCTTGATCAGCCAATGACCATCAGTCGGCCGAGAAAATGCGCGTTTGAGGATTTCTGGAAAGATCGCAGTAATTTTGAAATTTTGTGTACGGATCTTTAGTAAAAATAGTTGATTAGCCCTGCCCCAGGTCATTATTATCTTTATAGAAGTTTATAAACGAGCCACTATAATTATGCTAGATCTGTGGCGCAGCGAGGAGGATTTGTAGAAAAATCACCCGAAAAACCGAGAATGCCGCTAATACCTGTTTTAATCACTGATGATTTTTATTTACGTGTAGTGATTATATAAATTCCTAATGCCTTCATGTAAACTATATTTCTGGAAATATACGTCTTGTGCCACGGAATCAATAATGATATTTTTGTCACAGAATTATGCGTCTAGTGATATAACGTGTTATTAAGCGATCGTTGGCGACATACTAAGACTGAAAAGCTGTGTTATAAGTTTGTTTATTTTGACGTCAATTGAACAATACCTTCATTATCGGCTGTTGAATTTAGACATCACGTGACGGCGATGTTTACTCTCATCTGTTTACTTTTATCAGTGCTTCCATAGTATAACGTCACCAAGTCTAGCCGCACGGAGAATAACTAGTTTGCTTAATTAGTGACGATGCTTCTATTTTGTCGTTCATTCTCCGAAGCACACAGCTACCGCGCAAAATGCCCTTTGACACGTGTAATCAATTATTGCTTTTATGATAGCCTTACATATTGAAGGTTCTTATTAATCATGGATTGTCCATTAGTTGAAAAAGTCAGTCCATTCAATTACTGGGGTAATCTCGACGACTATTTTGCCGTATAATGGGACTTTTCGAAGCGTCGATCGTTGCGTCATCATGATATTTTCTCATATACTTTCAGGGACCCCCAAAGACAATATTTAAAAATGAATCAAGTCTGTCACCCGTTAAGGAAGAGGATCATGATGAATCCTCAGGTTGGTTGCAAGTAAAGAGTCACCATAGATTTTAGAATTTACCTTAAGCGCAAAGCAAATTACAGCACATTGATTAAAATAAAACATATATATACAATACAATATATAATACAATTCTATACAGTTACCAGGTTACCTGGTAAAAAAACAAGAACTCTGCTCCATTACATTGCTTTCCTCTGTAGTGACAGCGATTCTCGAAATATGCTCATTACTGTGTTTTACCAAGTTGTTACTTTTGCTGGTGTAGATCTTAATTAAATAGACATGGCACAATTTCACTCGAGATAAAATAAATTATGTCCATGATAAAGAATTAGAACGGTATCTACTCAAGTCTCCCACTTGCCCATACACTGTTTACATCAACAAAATGGAACAAATATGCAAGTTAATGAAGATGTTTGACTAAATGAATGACTTTAACAAAATAACATAATTTAAGTAATTTGTTTTTCAGAAAAGCAAACTTCTTACAAAATTGCACTCGATGCCAGTGGCACTTTAGCCTTTGAAACTTTGAAGACAAAAAGTCAATCTGGGAAATGTAAATTTTCTTTTAATTTTATTTTTTGTTTTGGTACAACAAGTATACATGCCAATAAGTAAGAAAAAGGAGTTTCCAATAACGTAACTGAAAGTCACACTTCAATAATAATAATAAATTACACCAAATGCTGGTAAGTCCAAAATTGTAGGGAAACAGAAGTGAATGTTCTTTCGGAATTCACCATATTGAAGCTTTTTGCATTATATTCTGTACAAAATAAGTAAACTATAAATATTTTTATTTTCAGTAAATAGAGCAGTATCTACACCTTGTTTGGCTGCGTCACCGCGAAAAGATGGAAGAAAATCTAGGTGGAATAGAGGTGAGGAAGAAGATTACTCTCTAGAACAGTGCTCCGCAACCGGTGTGCCGCGGCGCACCGGTGTGCCGCACAGGAATTGCACCTTTTCTCTCCTTTTTTCTTAGAGCGATTGTGCTTATTAAAACAACCACAAATCTCTCATTGTTATATGAACATAAAACAAAGTTACACCTTGTATTTTTCGTTTGTTGTGGTGTGCCGTCAAATTTGACAAGTTTTATAAGGGTGGCGCAAGTTAAAAAAGGTTGCGGAGCACTGCTCTAGAACAGTGGTTCTCAAACTTTATAAGCCGCCCCCCATTTTGAGAATTTGTCAAATTCGATAGTTATTCATTGAAATTTTTAATATAACTTTTATACCAGACAACAATAGCTTATTTTTGCATCTTTAGATACATGCACTACCGCACATTTGCAATCACAGTAATTTGGGAGAGTGTAATTTGATGAGGTCAATCAAACTAGTTCATGATGAGACCAATTTCGATTTTCTTATCCTAACATCCAATAGTATAGTTATTTAGTCAATAAAATGTCCACATATAACAGTTTCACATATCCATATTGTTCTGAATTGATTGCTGATTTATTTCATTAAGGGTCCAAGCACGAATCTTCAATGTTTCATGGAAAAATATCTAAGGAATGGAAAGGTTAGTACTTTTTAATATTCATGACTTAGTAAATAGTTAAATGATGCAGGGCACGTATATCTAGATTGTGTACTGATTAACCCAATGGTTCTCAACCTTTTTTCTTTCGTGGCCCATTTTTGTTGCACAAAAATTCTGTGGCCAACTAACATTTTCATGTGGGGGAAATTTCAAGAAAAACATAGAATTCTTCCTGCAAAAATGAACACTTTCACTTTAATATCAAATTAGGTGAAATTTACCACTCTGTAACGAAAAACTGCACCATCCATTGCTACTACCATCAAATTTAAATAAATTTATCGACAACTCCAACAATTTTTAATAGGTCTGAAAATCGTCCTGTGGCCCAGCAGTGGGCCATGGCCCACTGGTTGAGAACCAGTGGTAACCTATTGTGGCTCTTTTATCTGTCATTACTTCAGTTCAATAAAATCATAATTATCAGTCAACTTTTTGCATACTTACAAATTCCATAACCGCCATGAATTGCATGTTTCTCAAATTATGTTTCAGGACGATAATGTGCGATTCGGGCCTAATAGTTGGCATATAGTGTTATGTAGCCTACATATGGCTACATTGCTGATTACCATGCATATGAATGTTTGCATTTATACATCAATTGTTTGACTGAACTAAGTAACGATACAAAAACTCAGGCTTAGCATGTGATTCGGCTGTCTAATAAAAATGTTGATTCCCCATTCCTAGTCTCAGATAAATTCTAACAAATCTAATCAATTTGTGTGTTCATTATCCATCAGCATTTTTGTTTGACTGGTATGTTATAATATTTTGTTTTATTCAATTTTAGAAAGACTAGATTTCAGAGTAAGCAAAGATTCTGCTCTTGGCTCGTCCTTTGGCTCTTCCATTAATTTGGGTAAGAAATTGACTATTTTTTACTCTCTTCAAATGTGTAGGAGCAAATCTGTAGGTGTCTCTGCTCTAAGACACGTTTGACTAATGGTGCGAAGTTTTTGGGATTACGCTATTCATCGCACCGCGTAACTGTGTCTGTGAGGAATAAGAATGCATGGGAGGATTACTGAGCAATCTTCCGTTGTAGAGATCACGAAACTGTTATTGGGTTTAGGTTTAACTATTCAAGTCCACCAACTAGAATAATTAATTAGTTGACTATTTGGCGTAGTATAGCTAGATGGAAGACACTGATTCATATGAGAAATTGAGCTTTGCTATTGAATGAAACATGAAATTCCCACCAGCGTTCTCGATTATTACTATTATCATTGTTTTTTTCATTCTTCAGGAAAAACAGAGCCTTGTGTATAGCCTAACTAATTTCTATGTATATCTGCTTTTTACAGCTCATCGAGGCTCAATGTCGTCCCTGTATACCTCAGATATGAGTCGAACCTCTTCTCGGTCTGGATTAGTCACCCGGAAGTCCGTTTTAATAGCAGGTATGAAAATATCTGAACTGAAATACATAATATATTCGGAGCATTTTAATGTTTACTCAACTGCCATATGTTCCGCTTCCCTGGATTACAATATGAAAATCCAAAATAATAAAAGAAAACATGAATATTACGGTTGACGACAGGAGCTAATATGCAGCTACAAAGTGCGACAACAACATTTGACGGCGATTTAGTTTTCGCAACCCAAAATGTTTACTAGTCGCTCACATTTTGTTCTATGGCATAGAAATTACACTCAATCTTGATCCTGTCTGATTGCACACTTCACTGGTATTGGGTCATATTGTTTTTATGTTCAATAAAGACATAAAATTGTGTTAAGGTTTATAATATGGAGTTCTAGCGCAAGTTATATTCCGCAGGTATGATTCTGAAAATCCTTGTCAATAGATCAATCTCCTTGTTTTGCAATCTGTAAAAAGAATATGATCCTGAAGAATTTTTATGCGTCTTATAAAAAGTTTACGTCCTTCTCAAATGACTATACACGATATTAAAATACTATGTTCTCCTAGACCTAAAGCTAATAATATTTGATTGCTATGAAATAATAGGTCTGCGGCAGACTGAGAAAACCCCATTTGTATAAGGCCATGGCTCTTCATCGACAGACAATGCCATAAGACTATTTGAGTCAATTTTAGACATCACCTATTTAAATAAACCCCTTTCCCTCGTGAATTAAATGCTGGGAACATATTGCTTGTGGCGTGTTTGATTTTAAGAAATATTTTTTTTCCTATCTGGTAGGTAATTTTAAGCTTTAAGCTGTTGAATATTACCTTTTATTGAAAATTTAGTTGACCCTTTGCAACTTGAATTTCACGCTGAATAAGAATATTGAAGTTTTATTTTTCAGATAAAGATGAGAAACATACTCTCACTGTTCAAGGACCAAGGTTCACAGACTTTTCAGGTTAGTTGATAAAACTCACAAACAATTGAAATATACCGAATGTGAACTATGTGATATCGAATGCAAGAGAAATTGAATAAGAATATTAAACTATGTGTCAAACTATGGCCTGATGTTCAGTCACTGGTCTGAATATTGTGTGAAAACTTTGTGGTCCTTTAAACCAGTTATGATCAGCCATGCTCGTGTACCTGAAAAATTTAATACCAACATATATCCTTTATTCAACCTGGACAATAAGCACGACTAGACAATAAGCCATCGTTTGCCATAATGATACCCATACCGCGATACATTTCAGAATCAAAAGATCAAAATATAAAGAAGTCGGATGACCCAAAGAAAGAACCAGAAGTAAATATGGAAAGTGAGTGGATAAAATGAAAACAACTCTAGGAATCACTTTCAGTCGTATCTTGCTACAGAATCAACTATCTTGCTATTACCATACCACCTAACTAGTTTGGAGTGTACCATCTAGGCCCTAGGGCGCCTGAGTGACCAGCAACCTAAGATTAAGACGATAAGACGGCTTAATCATATGGCGAACCACGACCTCTCGTCCGGTTACTAGTCCATGTCGTGCATGGAATTAGTAGGGCAGTTATTTGTTTTCGGAAGCGTGAACTTGATGGAGCCGTGACCGACCAGCGGTTACGTGAACCACCCTGCGGCGGCGAGGAGTCCAGCAATCCGCTCGCACATAATCATCCCTGCAAGTAATTCCAACCTGCGAACCCACGCAGGGTAATCAGAGTTGCGGTGGCGATGCGCCACATCGTCTAGCTCTAGCCAATGTCGGTGCTTGGAAATAAATCAAATGAAAGCCATTTCTTAAGGAAGGATTTAATACCATGTGTCGAGATTTGATTTCCCTTTGCAAAACCCTTGGCACTTCAATAAAGGGTATATAAATATGGGAGCCCTTATAAGACTCTAAATCAAAATGTTGAACTTTTTGCCTTGCCTCATGGGCTTTCCTCTAGTCTAAATTGGCATGAAATTGGAATTATCCTTGAAAATTTTATTTTGAAACGTATTAAATTTTTCCATTTCAGTATCAATCGATATCGATCAGGAGGAAGGAAAAACAGAAGCTAAAGAACAGATACAAGGTACGACAATAACATTATGTGGTGGATCAATAATCGCAACAAAATAATTGATCAAAGTCGCATACAAATAAGATTTATAGCGCGTTCATGAGACCATTCAGAATTTTTTATACTTGGCAATTTTCTTGACTTGAGATTCATTGGGCCTGTGAATAATGATCAAAGTCAAATGTGAAATTCGAAGGTTACGCACTCGTGATCTGTTTATTTGAACGTAGCATTGTTACGTGGAATATGAGTTAAATTTAAAATTCAGTTTTTAAAAATGATTTACTTATATTTTGTAGGTTCCATATCTGACCCATGCGACTCTCAAGTTAAAAATGTCAACTCAAAACCAGAAGTCAAAGAAGAGAAAATTCAGTACGAAGGGAAAGGTATCGCGATCCATATCTAAGTTTTCAATCAAAGTTCTTCACGAACATCAGTCTCAATGAGTAATTAAATGAAATGTGATGACACTTTATAACAAGGCAGAAATTTGACTTGCAAAATCGTAAATTGAGAATACCGGGTTTTGTTTTCATTATGTATATCACTGAGGCCATGGTTTGCCTCATTATTGTTGTATTTTATTGTTGTATCAGCCAATTTGATGATAAAAAAAATTCAAATGTATCTAAACGTTAACCTGATTAAACCGCTTCATGAACTTTCTACCCCGACTAGAAAATGTTTCACGCTGCTCATACTTTAAAATTTATTTTCACCTTCAGGACCAAAGTCGTGTATCCACGCAAAAGATGGAAAAGCAGGAGGTAAATTACGGATAGAAGGTCCAGCAATAACGTATGACGGTGGGTTGCTTAATAATTAATTAAACTAAAAAACAATATGTAAGGCAAGAGAATAAAATGGAATCCAAGTGGCCTCAAAAGTAGTAGACAGTAGTCTATGCCTGTTATCACTTTCGTCACACCTTGATGCACAGTTAACTATCTTGTTATTCTCATACTACCTACGATAGATAACAAGGAGAATGAACTAGAGATGTACCGATACCACTTTTGTCGCCGATACCGATCCGATACCAGCTAAAAACGCCGATACCGATACGCCGATACTACAAAAGGGCCGATATTACCGATATTCCGATACCGATACTATGTAATTATTACTTAATTAGGTGTACTGAGTAGGGCAGACGGGTTAAAACAATAGTCTTTGAGCGTTGTTCATAGTACACATTATTTCAGATCGAAAAAAAGATATATCACATAATATGAAATTAATGTTTAGTATCCATATGCTTTAACTGATTAAGATACATTGTACAGTAACGCTAGTAATCTCGGCGTTCAATTAGAAAACTCATAAGCCGGGATGTCCAATTTGAATTTAATGTTAATATCGCGACCTTCGAATATCATTCGTATTTAAAAGAATATCGAATATCACCCACACATTCTAGCGCCGCCGTTCTACGTTCAAATTAAAAGTATTTTACAAATATTTGATTTAGTGGCTATTCGTGATCGTCGACGCAATAAGTCAACGCAAACATGAGAGAATAACAATCAGCACCGACAAAAAGAAGGCCCACCTATAACCGTCGAAGATATTTTTTTACTTTACTATTTTATAATATTTTACAATTTTTTTTATTTTGAGACAGTCTAGGGCTAGGCGGTCATGTCAATATATCTATAAAGAAATTGTGTAGTTAAACAGAATTAAAATTAATACCTGCGTAGTGGGATAATTGTGTCGGAATTTAGTTTATCGATGTCGACGGACTAAATGACACTCGTACTTGACGCCAAAGAGTCAGAATTTATACCCGTGCCAAAAGTCCATGTGCCGTTAATAAGGACCCCAATTCCACTGTATGATTTAAAACTGGGCGCCTAGTTTTTGTTATGTGCTGTGTTGATATATTTCTTCATAAAAACTATGTAATATTAAAAATGTCAATATAATAGTTTGACAGCGAAAATAACCAAATTAGTTGAGCTAGTTTGGCTGATAAATAGCTAAAACACGTGAATCCTATTCTCTCGCGGGGGTGGGGACATGTATGGCTCATAGCTCACGATCTCTCCAGACAAAAAATAAATTAAAAAGTAGTATTTCAACTTATCTTTTAAAACACTCTGGACCATATCAAAAAGGTAAATATAACGGAAATATCGGTCTTAATCTAACCGATACCGATACATGGCCGATACCGAAAAAATTACCGATATTACCGATACCCGATACCGATACATCGGTACATCTCTAGAATGAACAAGACACGAAGAAATTTCACATCCAATGATCGAGAAAATTCTTCATCATCAAAACTACTAACAGAAAATCCAAACCAAAATGCTAAAATTTACCCTTGCCAGTCTGAACATGCGACTAATTAAAATGCGAAATTGTTTGGTTATGCATTTCTTTTATTTTCTATCTAAACTCGAAATCAAAATTGGGCTCCACTCAATTGATTTATACTTTATGTCAAATGCCATATGTCCTGAATTTCTTGGACTACAAATAGAAAACCCATGATGGTCTAATAAAAAAATACATGAATATCAGCGGTTCTATAGGATTTGAAATCAACTTGAGTTTAAAATGCTAAACTGATAAATCCATTTTATTGCCTTTCCTCCCCATAGAGATAATAATCTTTGTCAATACTCGTACTTTGGAATTAATGAGATTTTTATTTTTAAGAATCAATGAAGAGTACTAATCCTAAGGATGAGAAGACAAGAGCTAATGCACAGCTTCAGGCTGCGACAAAAAAATTTGATGGTGGGTTGCTTGTTTATGACAGCAGTGGAAACTGTTGGACTCGACTATGAGTATCTCTGTTGGCTGTGGCATAACATATTTATGACCATGTATGTAACTGGACCAGTTTATGTAACCTATTGATTTAGCCATGACATGTAATTTACACCGACCGGTCGTGATTACGAGAATTGTCAGTTCTGTATTAAACATATGTTTATATTTCAAGGTTCTGAAACCGGTTTCAAATTCAAATCCGAAGACTCACATCTTTGTGCAGGAAATGAAATGAAAAACCAGTTCAGAGAAGAAGGTATTTCTATTCATAGCTGAGTGATCAAACAATTGCCTTTATCGACCTACTTATATAGGTATCTCTTTTGGCGGTCGCATCTCATAATTTTGAACAGTTCATATAACTCACGGAGTTAGCTATTGGAGGTGACCTGATTACAAAAAATATCAGTTCTGTATTTAACATATATATTCATATTTTCAGGTTATCAACCTGAAACCAGTTTCAATTTCAAATCTGAAGATCCACTTCTTGGTGGAAGAAAGGAAGAGAAAAAACTGTTTGAGGAAGAAGGTATTGCTATTCGTAGATGAGTTATCAATCAACCTTTATAGACACTCGATTATTTCTAAAGATTTATGAATTGATTAATTAAATTGTTGTAGATTGCTACAGCCTTGTATATTATTGAATGGTTCGCCTTTTTGCCTCCATTCGTAACCAGCTATGCCCGTGTATCTGAAAGATTCATCATCATCATATTTACTTTATTCAACCTGGTTTTGTAAAAGAAACTATATATCTGGCCATTGTTTGCCATAATGATAATAAGAAGGTAAGAGAATGAAAATGAGAACAGCCTTAGGAATTCAAAAGTCTTTAATTAGGAGATAGTAGTCTATGCTTCTTATCACTTTACGTCGCATCTTGGTACATAAGTAACTATCTCGCTATTCCCTTGCTACCTACGATAGATAACAAGAAGAATACTAACAGATAAAGCTAAACCAAGAATGCTAAAATTTACCACTGCCAGTCTGAATGAACAACTAATTAAAATGCGAAGTTGTTTGGTTATGAATTCCTCCATTTTTTCTGTCTTGCCTAAAAATCAATGGGGGCCTTCACTCATTTGCTTCATGGCAAATGCCATATGTCCTGCTTTTCGTGGGTTGCAATAGGGGAACCCATGATGGTCGTATAAAAGAAAACGTGAATATGGTAAGATTTAAAACGCTAAACTGATTAAAACTGGCTAAACTGAGCCAATTTATGACTTTTACTCTTCACCGAGAGAAGCTTTGACAATAATTATACTTTAGAATTAATGAGATTTTACTTTTAAGAATCAATGACGGGTATTAACGTAAATGATGCGGAAGCAGGAGATAATTTACAGCTACCAGATGCGACAACAACATTTGACAGTGAGTTACTTACTAATCGCAAAATAACTAATTTACTAATAACATTTACTAATAATAATCGCAAAATAACTAACTTACTAATAACAAAAATTTTTTTACCAACCGCTCACATTTTCTACGTGGCATGCATGGGACTGCTTAGAAATTACTCTCAATCTTGGTCCCGCCAAAAAAAGATTTACTTACATTTTGTAGGTTCCATATCTAACCCATGCGAAGTTCAAGCTGAAAATGTCAACTCAAAATCAGAAGTCAAAGAAGAAAAAAATCAGTACGAAGGGAAAGGTATTGCGATTCATATCTGAGTTTTCAATCAAAGTTCTTCATGAACATCTGTCTCAAATAAATTATAAACCATATACAATGGATATGTATAACCAATATAAATATACTATGCCCCCTTGAAGCTATAACGTAACACCAAAAAATTAAATGCTGGGAGCATACCGCTTGAGACGTGTTGGACTTAGAAAAATTAAATTTTATAGAATCTCATGTAGGGTAATTTGTAGCAAATATACTGAATACTTCAATGACTTCCTCAGTAACATTTTATCTCTGCCTTTGAATCAAAACTTGAACTAATGACCATTTACAATTTTCCATTTTAAAACATTTATTCTCAGTTTTTTTCACTGTTTTCACAATTTGATGAAATATATTTTTTGCAATGCATGTTCCTTATTTATAAATTTCACGGCGGATATAAGTATTAAAGTGTTATCTTTTAGATAATGATGAGGAACATACTCTCATTGTTCAAGGAGCAAAGTCCACGGAGTTACCAGGTTAGTCAATAAACCAGATTAAAATGGTTTGACATACGAGGAGGGTGAAAATGAGACGATTAAACTATGGCCTGGTTGAACTAAAGTCACTGGTCTAAATTATGTACAGGACCAGTCAGACTAGACTTTTTTAAGTGCCTAATCCCACGTGGCACTCATCACGTTTACCAAGTTTTAAATGGCGTTTTGGGGTTCTCCTCGTAGCCGGCAACCATTTATTTCTGGGTTTCATGTTCTTCAGTTTTTTGAATGACGTCGGCTTGCAACTATCTCGCGGCATTCCGTCTTGAGTTTTACCTCCTGCTCTCAAACACAAAGCAAATCTATTTCCTCTCATTGAAAAAAGTCAGTCCAGAATTGTACTTGGATCCTTTATTCATGTCCAATTTTCAGGATGTCAACTAGACATTGCCAATATATTTGCACCGACTGTCGATGAAGAAACAGAACTTGTACTAGATGCTGAAACAACATATATACCCCAAACAGAACCTCCGTTTTCGTATGATGAGAAGAAGCGAAGTTCGGAAGAATGTGGAATAAAAAATGCAAAAGGTAACCGTATATGTATAATTGCATCGGGACTATACTATTAGCTCCAATCAAGATCATAATCGATACAATTTTGTTGTTGTTGATGTTGTAAAATATATAATATTGCATTGCACTGATAATAGTTTATAAAATAGTTCATGAATATGAAACTTGAAACGAACATGTATCTGAAACGTTAAACTAGTTTAACAGCTCCATGGGCTAAACTCTCCAAGTGAACGGAAATCGTCCAATATATTTATACTTCATTATTTATAAGATTTTAAATTTTAGAATTAAAGGTGGGTATCTATGCAAAAGATGAGAAAACTGGAGCTGAAGTACGGCTAGAAGGTGCAACAATATCATTTGACGGTGAGTTGGTTATTCATTGCAAAAAATCAGTCGATTACAAATGATATGTTACTTTCCATTTTAAAATATTCATTCTCAGTTCTTTTCACTGTTTTCACAATTTGATGAAATATGTTTTGCAATGCATGTTTCTTATTTCACGGCGGATGTGAATATTAAAGTGTTATTTTCAGATATTGATGAGGAACATACTCTAATTGTTCAAGGAGCAAAGTCCACAGAGTTATCAGGTTAGTGATAAACCATATCACTGGTCTAAATTATGTACAGGACCAGTCAAACTTGACTCTTCTAAAAGTAATCCCACGCGCCACTCACCATGTTTAACAAGTCTTAAATGACCTTTTGGGGTTAATGTTCGGGGATTCATGGGCGCTTGCGATAAGACATGCAAATTAGAGGCCTGGGTACAGATATCGAAGTATAAACGATGCTAATGATAATCAGGATTTTCGCATGCGCCAACGAAAAAAAGGATACAAGCAAACATCCGATTTTTTATGCATAGCATTTTATCCTCATTTCAATCTTCTTCAGTTTTTCGAATGACTTGCTTGCATCTATCTCTTGGCCTTCTGTCTCGTGTTCTACCTCATTCTCTCAAACACAAAGCAAATCTATTTCCTCTCATTGAAAAAAGTTTCAACCTTGAAACTATAATTATGTAAATATGAAATATAAATTAGGGTCATGACATTGGTAAGACTAAATATTGCAATAGAGGGGGTAACAAAATAAAAGGGTATCAGAAAGAACGAGAGCTTTAAACGTTGTAATAAGCAGCATCGTCTTGCAATTTTTCATTTCTTTGCTAGTTCAATTAAAATGAAGCAAAGTGGCTTTTACGTGTGCCATCTTTACGTGCTCGGCATCGCAGTATTATAACGCAAATATATGTTATTATTTTATGTTCCGCTCATTTCAGTTTTTGAGTACATTCTATTCAGTTTTGCCGGTCCGCTAGGGTAGAAAGGTTGGGAACCACTGATGTAGACACATGGGATTGTCTAATGGACAAAGTGACCAGCAGTCGGGTCAACCACTATGCGATGCTAGAGAGTCCTGTAGTTTTATCCCCCATATATATTATCTCTCACGAAAGTCGACCCTGAGACTCACGCTAATGTGTTACTAACTTATCATGTCGCAAACAGGAAGACATCACTTAAATTTTCTATTCTGTAGAATATGAATTATCATGAACTACCGCTTTTAGGTTTATTCTTTGAACGGATTTGAATATCCAGTTTACTCGGGTTAGCTGGCGCACATTGATCTACTATCAAATCTCCCTGGGCTATTTAAATATGCAATTTCAATCAAAACATGTTGCCTACAAACGAACATCATTTCTCTAAACATTTTTTTACAGAAGAAAACATACTTGACCCCAGGGTAGAAGTTCAAAATGTTATATCAGAAGGGGAAAAGAGATCTGCTATTTCTGAGACAGAGTCACAAGGTATGGCAGTATGCATTGGCACTTCCTGAATCTGTTTCAATTGAACAGCACTAGGATAAAATTGAAATTTGTCAAAAAAGTAATTACGGATGTTTTCCCGGTGATTTATTTCCGTAACAATGACTCATCAACATACAGGGTGGTCCAAAAGTAGGTATACAGTTATTAAAATTATTAATCAGTAAAATAGTTTAATAACTGTATACCTACTTTTGGGTCACCCTGTATATTCAACGGCAAAACGATTGAAAATGTGAGCAACCGCTGAGCATACATCTAAATATTGTCCCCGTGGTTTTGGGTATTTTATCTCCCCGTTTTTAGCTTTGTTATCAAAATATACTCGTAAGTATAAATCAAATTACCCAGCCTTCATTTTTGCTTTAGCAAATGTGTTTTAGTTCAATTAATTAAAGAATCCCCCCAAAACACGCCAAAATATCATTTCAAAATAGGCTGTGAGTACTTTCTAATGGCAGCTGCTAGAACAGTTTGGAACAAAATAGTGATTTTGAAGATGACCAAGTTTTCACGTACGGTCCGCCTAATTCTAAATAATAATAATAAATATTCTGCAAGGTTGGAAAAGAGAAATAATATTTCTGGGGTCTATTCATTCAACTGAATTGTATTCTGGTACTTTTTCATTAACCTTTCTATAATAATTACCATAGCCTGAATTTCATGGCGTTTCATAGTTTACTGAGTTTTATTCGTTTAGCCCTGTCATTTGGTGACTTGGTTCAGACTAAGCATTGCTTAGTTTTAGAATTTGTGTTAAGTGGAAATGAGTTTCAGTCAAGCTGAACATTCACTTTTGCCAAAACAGAATCAAAGACTGAAAGAGCCCAGCTTGACCTAAATGAAGCCACAACATCCGAACCGAAAAGCATATGTTCACAAAAAGGTGTTGGAGAGCAAGGTAAGAACGGTGCTCCAATACAAACTCTATATTAGATATGCGCTTGTCAAATTCGGGCAACTAATGGAGATCTTCGTCTGAGCAAAATTTCACTAAAAGCATGCACTCATCGAAACGCAACTTATTTATCTAATCTAGTACCCTCGATTGGAAAATTCGATTTTATTATCACAATCAGCCGTGAATTGCTACATCAACAGCCGCAATCATTTAGCTGTTTTGAGGGCTGCTTCGTCGTTTTACATTCATATGAATAGTGAGTTTTTTAAATACTGGGGCTAAGATTTAATATAAGTTCGAGGATTGTAAAAAACACTGCATTATTGTCAATAGTTATTCACATAACTAAACAATTGTGTGCAGTCCTATTATAGATATTATCGAGAAACAACTTCTCATTTAAACAGAGTTCAAGGATGAAAGTGCAAAATTGCCACCAAACCTGAGAAGAGCCCAACACAGTGATCAGTTGCACAACCAGAGTGAAGTTTTTCATGGTAAGTAATTATATAAAGTATTGGTATATCATTCTTGAGTCTTTATGCTATATTTCAATAAATTCTAAACAAGCTGCTACTATGCCGTAAAGAGATACTGTGTTTTGGGAGCAACATAATCATTGCCTACTCAATCATCACAACTAAAGCCTAGGTTGGAAGTGATTGTGTTATTAAAAATCAAGATATTTAACTGCAAAGCACTAGTGCAGTGGTCTTCAACCTTTTTTTTATCGTGGTATACTTTTTACAATTTTTCAATAACTTTGTATACCGTACAAATACCAATTATGGCTTAAATAAACATTAAATTTTAAGCACATATTGTACTGCAATATCATCATGCAATCTAATAGGCTAGTGTCCGCAAGTTAGAAATTTGACTGACGGGCTGACGGCCTTAGCGTCAACGAGAATAATGTTCAACGTAAATCAAACGAAGTGCATGGCAGCCGAAATCACCCATTATATTAATATATATTATATATACGCTTTGAAATCACCAACCCAGACACGTGTACACCCTTTGTATACCTTTAATTAGTTGTATACCCAACTTATGGTCCGGTATACACTTGGGTATACCGTATACCCGGTTGAAGAGCACTGCACTAGTGTGACTTGAAAACTTGGAAATTTTACCTTGGCATTGTTTGATTTGAACAATACTCTATGACAGGTGAAATTGGCTTGAAATAGAATGGATGGGCAACATTTCTTAGAGTAACAGAGCAACCCAAGATTATATGATATGCATAATATGTTAGGAGGTCCATCAATTTCTTTTCTTTGAAAAAAATTCCCATCAGCTCTAACAAATTTACCAATATCTTTATAACATTTATAACAATAATTACCAATATATTTTTTTGCAGATGATGTCATCAGAAAAGAATTTCGAGCCCAAATAGGTCCAGATGGGGGAAACATTGAGATATGTGACTGTTTGGTCACATTTCCTCCAGGTTCTTTCGAAGAACCAACATTAGTAGAAGGAAAACTAGAAATAGATCCATTACGATGGCCTCCTGGTTACACACCCATCTCCCCAATGATATTTATAAAATCTGAAACTAAAACAAAATGTCCAATTACAGTGCAATTGGTTTCTTGGTGTAAAAATGGCGATTCCGGAGAAGGAAAAAATATGACAGTTGACGTTCTCCATCTCCCAGATGAAAAACCTGAATGGGAAGTCATTTCTACTCAGCCCTTTACTAGCGAAACTATGTTTAGGTTTGATAGCCCCGACTATAGCCCATTCCTTGTCGCAATTTATGAAGACTTTACTGGCCCTGTCGAATATTTAGTCGACTGTCGTGTCCACACGAAACCTGATAATGACTTTCAGCTAAATTTCAATTTGCAAAATCGAGTTATAGAAGAACATTTATTAAAATATAATCCGGGTAGGCTTCAGTCTGGTTTTCAGACAATATCAGTTCGCAAAAATGACAGAATAGCCATAACCATAAAGTGTGTTGAACCTGATGGAATTTTGTTTGTCACTGAGAGGTTTGAATTTGTTGCTAACAATGATTTTTTGAGAAAAAAATATGAGCAATTTGTAGCACACATTGCAAATGAAGCAGACGCACCCAGGCGATTGAAAATATCATGTGATTTATTAGTAAATGGCGTTGCTGTACAAAGAGACCAAACCTTCATGTATACACTGGATATAGAGGGCGGTGAGAATACTACTTATTTTCGACTTGCTAGATTCAATTTTGAAATGGTCAAAACATTCATAAAAATTACAGCTTATTAAATAACTTTTGTTCGGTTCTATACATGTTCAATATTGACTATGCTCTCTATAAAGGTATATATTGTGAGCGAGATATTTGTATGTTTGACAGTTGTGTCTCAAGCAAGGTTCCATCCAACTAACCAAAAGCGAAGCTGCTAATTGGAGGTGTCAAATACTATAAATCAAATTGCGCAACGTACAGAACAATAATAAACGAAGTAAATCTAGTAACAAATAAAAGGGTTGTTTATTAAAATATTATTTATTAAAGTAATATTTTACTCTTTAGGCGGGCAAAAAGTCAACCTGTATGGAGACTTTAACGTTGCTGGGAATTCTACACTGAATATTTGTCCGCGGAACGTGGAAACTAATAATCTTCCTGTTGAGCAGCGTAAGTGAACAATTTGTCAGAGGAACAATGTCTTGATTAAATACACAAAACAAAAGGAGCATGGGATTGGAACTTGAGATCTTTAACCGGCGATACTAACATAATTGAACTCGATGCGCCCTCCACTGGACTATCCTGATCTAAAATGCTATGGGTATCGAGATTTGAACTCGAGATTTAAGTCAACAAAGTTGAAGCCAACGCTTCGCCTACTTGGCCTAATGGCTCAATGGTTACCGGGACTGAAAACGTTTCCCACGGGTATCTGGATTCACATGTATTAGATTTGTAATAGTAAGTGATATAAGCTCGTTTTTGTGACTCAGTTACTAATAATTTGTTAATTATCGAGACTGGGAATTTCCATTATAATAGAATTTCCGAACAGGTTCTATCGATGCCCCTTATCCTGCATCGGTTTACATATTTAGTATCTTGCTATTGCAGTTTGGTTTACTTGACACTCATAATTTATAACAACCTCCCCCACTCATTTCTTTTACAGATGATAATCACTTGGGGCGGTACAACGAACAAGGAACTAGTGTCTCGGCATACTTTGTGTTCATTGCAATGCTGCTCGTCTTGTGTTTGTTCCAAGACGCCACATCAAAAATTATAATTTCTGTTATTTCCTCTGCAATAGTTATGGCGATTTTCACAGCAATTTGTGAACGTATTTATCAACAGTTTTTTTGAGTTGTGTGCTACTTGCTATAATACTGTTTGCCGATAAACGTAAATATTTGATTTTGGACCATACTGATGTTATTTTTTTTTTTTTATCCCTGTTTACGATAGGCAATTTTCGTAAAAATATTTATGTATAATTCAATTTCTTAATTTTTTTCATTGTCTAAGTTTATTCTGAATAGTTGATTTCCACCTAAGCAATCTATCTAATGAGATGCCATTGCATATGCCACTGTTGATTAGTATTTTGTTTCTATTTTAAAGTTTGAATAACTGCAATAAATTTTGATTAGTTGCTAAAAGTTGTTTTAGGTTACCTGCAAAATATATTTGCCCGGTCAGGGCGCAGCCAAGATTTTCAAAGGGGGGAGGGATCAAATCAGGAATTTCTCACGCTACGTTGAAACAGTTGCCGCTATTACGTGCTTCGTAATGCTCGTCTCGCCTTTGCACTGCTTATCCCACATTTAATGTGCTTGCCTTTTCTTTCGAACCTTAATAGAGCCGCTTAATGATTTTCCTTTCAAATAAAATATTTAATTCATGACATCTACAGAACATCAGAATTTTGTTTGTCCTTCTATATTATTTTAATAGTGTTCAACCTAACTCGCGGACTTACGACAAAATAAAACCATTGGTAAATTTCTAAAATACGACGGAATTCTGCGAACATAAAAATGTGAGAAACACTGCCATAAAATATTTAATTTTGATACGTATATTAGCGATCTTGCGAATTCTTCACAGCCGCTAAGGTTAAGCAAATATCAAATTCTGCTATAAAATTCCCAGACAGAACAATTAATTTAGTACAATAAAAATACATATGAAGTATATCAAACATACATATTCATCATCTCGAAATCCCTCACTCCACTATTTCAAAGAGTCAACTTTTTCAACGGTTAATGATCTTTTTTTGAGCACAGTAATTCATCCATACGGGCGGCAGATTCAAAATATCTTGCTTTATCAATTTAATCTGCGATTGCTTCGACAGAATAATGGAAATATTGTGGCAATCTGCGGACATGAAAATATGTGGTAAAGTGCCCGTCTTTTAAAATTTTGTAAACTCAACAAATCTTTTAAAGGTCACCGTTGAAAAATCTCTTCGTCTGCGATAAAATTCCGCAGAGTAAATTTATTTTAGTACGACAAAAATTGATTGAATTTACTTTAGATACTTATATATCAAGTCCTTTGTTTTTATATTTCCTTTCCACAGATTTCACAAGTCTTTAAGTTTCTGTTTTTTTGAATGGAGTAAGTAATGTTTTCTTAAACTTTCAAATCTGGGAAATCCCTTACCACCGCACATTTATGTTTCTTTCGAATGAACGACCATATGATTCACCAGACAGCCTTTGTACATGAAGTTTTTTTTTTCAAATGCAACATTTATTAGATTTTTTTTCTCCAAATCTTTTCTCAAATGTTGTTTCATGTTGCCTTTATCTCCATCAAGTTGGTTGAATAAACGTAAAACACTGACAACATCAAAACGAGATAGCGATCGGAGACCGCCGACTTATCGATTTTCCACCCAAAAAAATTAATTAATTACTTAATACCTCGCTAATTATAAAAAAAATATATATATATAAAATAATTAATTATTAACTCGCTAATTATACGACATAATTCATCCAAAATTTGGAGCAGATTTAACCTCGCTTTCGTGAGATATCGCGTAACAGCGTCCAATTACATTTAGTTTAGTTTAGAAATACGGATATCAAACAGGAAAGAAACTACGAAAGTAGACTAGGTACGTAAACGTTAAATACAAGATAACTAGTAAACAGAGCTATGCCAAGCTAGGGAAACAGTTAATCTGTAGTACTACTAACAGTCTACAACAAGAATTACATAGATTTACGGCATTTGCCGGCAAATCAGCTCAAAGGGAAAGTTACTTAACTGCTCACTAGTGACTCAAGTGGTATAAATAAATATGGGCATACAGAATAAAACAGAGTTATAGACGTGGTCGTCTCACATACAATGAACGTTCTCAATAAAATAATAAAAAGATTACTCTTGAACATTGTTGGTAGTGATATAAAGAGAGGCTTTTCATATAAAATTCATATCTCCTTTATCCATTTTTATTACAATCTATCTCAGTTCCACGCGTGATTAGGACATTTTATTGCGTAGGTTATTTAGTATATAAATTGGTCATATTGACTATTTTTTTTTATCATATGGTATTCTATCGTCTATACTGCGATCGTAAGCTGGAAGCTGATAATAAAGACATAGTCTCGTTGAAATATCTAACAAAGACGTGGGAGATTGGGCAGTCGAGCCGCTACCGTTGTATTCATCGTCTAACGGCAAACGATAAGCTGTCGTCTACCACACAACAAGTCAAAATACGTACTTTTGACCCCTAAATACTTATAATATGCAGGCACAGAATATGCGATGTCCTGATTAATAAATAAAGCAAACGGAATAGCTAACCTCATCGAATCTTGATTTCTGAATCCCAAGCATTCAGTCAGATACACGATAACTCATCCTATCTTGCTACACTCACTCAGCGGAATGTTTGCCCCCTTATACCGGTTTGCGTGATTTTTGCACCTTTTTATCGTTTTATATTTTTTTTTGTATGTCTCCATATTTTACAGGGGTAAATTTCGCACACTTGTGATTTAGATTAGCATAACGCTGTATGAACACGTGTCTCACACCTGTAAACCCTATAATAATGCCACACAACTTGTTGGTTTCTAGCCAGTCGTCAAAAACTTTTATACGGATGGTAATTAAGAACTATTGAAAGCAACATTCGACACCAAGTAATAACGTGTGTTGTAATACCTGATTTAAATGAGCTGTGTTCTATAAGTTGGATCTGGTTTAGGCAGTGAGAACAAGCCTTAAACGTGGAAAATATCAAATCACTTGATCTGACGATCATTCCAAATTCCTCAATTTGTAAAAAAAATAAAATGGAAGCGTACTTGGGTTTGAGATTGCGAAAACCCGAAACCCTGTATTTCAAATATCAGACCCGAATGTGAAATGTGCGGTCGTGCTGGTGTTTGTTTTACTGTAAAGTAACGTATGTTTGTGTGCTATGTTGGCGCTTGACTGTCACGTCTTTAATGGACAATAAACTAGACTCGAGATTATAAAAAGTAACAGTTGTAAACATCGCTCCGTGTCACTACGGCGGAAATGAGGTCTGTCAAATTTCTTACATTTTCATATCATTACAAATGCCGGTGCTCCTGAAGTAAGCGCAGCCAGCCAGAATCGGAATCAAAAATTTCCATACGGCAGCTCCTCAAACATGATATAGCGATGACGTTTCTCGTTGAAAGAGTCAGCTTTTTCGGTGGATAATGATTTTTTACGTTAAGCAAAATACTTAATCCTCGACCAATGCAAGCATTTAAAATATCTTGCTATATAAATTTAATTGTGTTCGACATAACTTCCGATTTCATCGACCTACCTTAAAAAATAAAAGCATTATTTTCTCCTGTAAAATAGCAGGGCAATCAGCGAATATTGGTATAGGTGGGAAATTCATCCAGTTACATTTATTTTTGAATCTTTTACCTGCGATCCTGCGAAATCGTTATCGCCGTTAGAAAAATCCGAAGACCTACGATAAAATCCCAAAATTTACATTTTAATTTAGTTCAAAAAAATTTGATTGAACATAGTTCACATTGATTAGCTCATACGTATATCGTATAGCTTATATACGATTAGCTTGTATTATGATGGTTAATGATGGCACTCTTGATTATCAAACCAATTGCAATCAGAAGATACAGACGCAGACGGAAATATCCATCACCGCCAGACATTTTTAAGTTTCAACTGGTATTCAAATTTGCAAAAAATAAAAATTTGAGGCCTACAGCAGAGTAAGCAATGCAATGATGTATTTATCAACAAGCATATTTACCATCCGAGAAGTCGTGACCGAAATTCGATTTGACCTTCTGTGGGTGCATGATTGTCCATGAAATGCAAGCACTTCATCAAACACAAAATCTTTGTTGAATATTAAATTTTTAAAAAGATATGCAAAACATAGTTACAAGCTTGTGACGTACTCGTGATGAATAGCATAAAACGATTGCCCCCAATAGACTCAGAATTTAACGCTATCTTTAATCCCCAGAAAGTATGGAACAGGGATTTCTGCCGTAAGATTTGTCTGTTTATTTATTGAATCATTCCAAATAAGAATTTATCAACTTGAATAGATGTTATTGTTTACTATAAAATATGGAAATGTGTGGGTTTGTTCAAAATTAGCTTCCTTATGTTTGCAATCGAAATGCATATAACTGAACAGATGAAAATTCCCGCCATTACGACTCGAATAGTCTCAGCGTTTTATTCTTGTGCTTACAATCATTTTTATTTATTTTGCCACGATCTCAAAATGCTCTAATATTGAATGTCTGAAATATATAATGTAACCATTGAAGCGATACATTTTAACTGGCATAAATATACGTATTTGTTTAGCTTGAAAATATTCTTCCAATTTGTGATATGCAAACGTCTTATACAATATTGCCCTGGCTATTTCAAGACTCCGAAAGGTCACAGCCCTAGAAAATATTAGGGATTTATGAATTTCATACGTATATCATCATAATGTGATAAAAAAAAAGTATAGTGTAACCCCGAGGGTAATTAAAGAATATGTAAGCAGGTACATCGTGGTCACAAATAATTGTTTTAACTTCTGTAAATATGATATATAATGGCTCAATATTGAGGGTTTACAATGTCTTAATTAGCGTTTTTACATCTGGCACGGAATCCTAAAGCAAAAATTACGGTGCATTCCGATCGTGTTGTTAATATTTATTTTATAACACTATTTCAGAGTCTTAATATTTACTCCCTTATTTTCAGCTGGAAATTTTTAGTTGCTAGTTCTCTATGCCGATGATCGCATAATAACGAGTTTTTTTCGGAAAATCCATTGACCTAATATCAATGTTAACGGCTTAAATAACCGCGTCTAGCTGACCAAAACAATCGGTGACTTGAATAACATTAGCAACTTTTCAGGTCTCCCGAAAGTGTTGAAAAAGAAGCAGAGATTTGGGCTGGCCCTTTCGCTGCGCCAATAACAACAGTAATTAAAGTAAGTGTCGACCAGTGCTCTGGCTTCTTTTCAGACTGTAGATTAAACTATCCGAACTATCTCGTATTCATTGGAAATTTTCGATTGGACAAAAATATTTGGTCACTCTTAGACACTTTTATTCAGTATATTTGTTTAAATTTAACCATTTCATATAAGTTTCAGACGCACTTTAATGATATATATCAATAAAGGGCCAATTTTTTAAATAAATATGACGTATAAAAGACCTCGATTTCACTGGTGGCCGTGGACCATTTATAAAAACGTGATGCGGCCGTCTGAAGAAAAAAGGTTGCGGTTTCGATTCATGACCTTATTGAGACACCGTGTGTCCAAACACCAATTAATTAATAGCTCCCTAATTATACGACAGAACTCGACCAAAATCAATAGCCATCTGGTCCGTGATATGATGAACGCACATGCAAAATTGGGTGGAGATTAAATTCCGCTTTCTTGAGATATCGCTTGCATCTAACAGACAGACAAAGATCGATAAACAAGATCGATAAGTAATGATGTTTTTACATCATGCACTCGGTCTATTACTGAATCTGTGATAATATTATTTTTCGTCCTTGGTATTCATTTTGATCCCGGTCTGTGTCCAATAACAAAAAATATGCTTTTCGTGAAAATTTTTCCATTGGACATGTCCGGCTTCAACCAACACATGACCTCTCTAAATCCTAAATTGCCCTTAATAACTTCTATAATACCATTAAATTGCCGACTCGTTTCCTTTTTTCTTCGTATTTATTTATTATTTATTTATATTTAATCTCATTTGTATCCACCTATGATGAACTTATATATAGCACATACACAAGGGTAGGGCTGGGCATTTTCGAATACCTTGTGATTTCAGAATCGAATCGAATCTCGAATACTTGAAAATATATAATTGTAAGCGACTTTATTATAGTAATTGGTCCTCTCAACAAATGAATTACTGAAGACATAGAATGATTCACTCAGATAGATTACTGAGCGTTCACACAGAATAACAAACACGTTTTATCAATAACTCACTACAGAAAATAGTCATATGTTAGAATTCCGTTGAAAAAATATGACTCCAATGAAAAAAAAATGGGGGAATTCACCTCGACCATTAGCGGAAAGATAAAAACAAGATGGCGACGATTCGAAATTTAGCTCTGAACCGATTCGAATAATTTACTATTCGATTCGAATATTCGATTCGAAATGCCCAGCCCTACACAAGGGTCGGGAGCCTAGATGACTTTAATCGGTCTTGCATACCGACCCGCACAAAACAGTAATCAATCACTGTGGAATATTTTCGTTATTGTACTATGTTTATATTAGTGTTGATTTCGTTTTTATGGCAATAAATCTCTCTCTCTCCCCTGGGATACCCTTACTGAAATTAATAATATCGGCGACTTTGTGTGAGTGATAATCGCGAAATTTAATTAATAACTTTGAGCTCTGTAGTGACCAGCAAGCGTGACTGTTCAGCGTGTTCAATCTATCGGCATATTTCTTTGCTTTTCCGCTTGTTATGGATAGATAGAATCATAGATAGTTTATTTCGAAAACTCCATAACGAACACAAACATTCCTTTATCGCTCGATGGAAAATGCAAACCAAAAAATTTGGGGGGTTATGATATTATTAACATACCCATTTTTACAATGTGCATGTACATAATTAGTGTCTTGGATTATTATAAAGCTAGAGAATGTGATTATAATGAGGATTACAATCATATTTGTATGTCCTTTGTTGAATACAATATTGGACAACAACTTAGTACATTTTGGGGGATTAGAACTAAAAATACATGTTTACATAGATTTTGTCCTCAAAGTGAGTATAGATTAATATTAGAATTTTTAAGAAAGCATAACATAAGTAGTACAGATATAAAAGAAGATATGCATAAAACTATTTATAAAAAAATTGTTATTTCTATGACTGGGGACAGATTAATTTTTCTACGCAATTGTAATTTAAATATTGCATGTGAGAATATTCATAATAATATTCTGGCAAACTATATGAAAACCTTTAATTTCAAGTTAATGTGGGATATTTTACCAGTAAAAACAAAACCTGGAATAAGAAATATAGCAGGAAATGATATGTGTGTGTTATGTGGAAAAGAACCAGAATGCAGTCATACTTCTTCTGTGTACTGCAAGATATAAAATATGGTTAGAACGTAATGCAGTTATTTTTGAAAATGTTAATCCAAGTGTAAACAGTGTCATAACAAGAATTAGAAAATCCCTTTTAGTAAGGAGAAATATAGAACAACTTAGACATAATCCTAGTTTTATAAAAGAACTAGACATAAATTGTAAGAATCTATGACTAATTGTATAAATTTTTATTTTTCTGCGATAAATTAAAAACATATAAATTAATGTATATTTACTTATAAACATGGGAAACTTTATCTGGAATCAACAATGGAATAATATGAATTGCTGGATAATACTGAATGATGTTTACGAATATATTTGTTTATTATATGTAACTATGTTCTATGATTATTATTTTTTCATCATTTATTTATTTTTACAAAACTGTCATGAATCCACAACGTGGACCTTTAAAAAAAAAAAAAAAAAAAAAAAAACACAAATTAAAAATGGAGAATTATGGAGGGCATGATGATGAACCAGAGTTTATTAACCATTTATTTTACAGATGCCCTTTTGTGCCAGAAATTTATAATTATGTATATAGAGTTATTTTCAAAATGTGTAATATTCAATTTCTCGCCAATTATCGAACTTGTACTTTTATTGATTTAAGTGGACAAGAATACACCTTTGCAACCAGGGAACAAAAGAATGCAATTATTTTATTGCTATGCATTGCCCGGTATAAACTGTGGCTGGAACGAAATGCTGTCATTTTTCAAAGTAAAATACCTAATGTACGGTACGCAATGTAAATTGTCAAACATGGGAACAAAACTGGTTTGAATATTTATACCATTATTTTTTTTTTACAATACTTTTTTTAATTTAATATTGTACACTCATATGAGGTGGTGAAAAAAAAAAAAAAAAAAAAAAAAAGAGAATTATGGAGGGCAAGCAAAACCTATGACAAAGTTTAAAACACGAGAAATATCTCATGTGCCTGCCCACCAGAACGCACACAAAAACACAAGCCCAATCAAATGAGGCTTGGGCCAAACTTGACAAACAAAATACACGATAGTATTAAACTTTCGGGCTGTTGTACTTTCAACAGTTACGTTGATAATGACCAATACCTACAACCTCATGCAAAGATAATGTGGGGAGTGGAATGTAATAAATTTGCGACGATAGTCATACTCATGAAGCCAAGGGGACAAGTTCACAATTTCATTCATTTTCAGCTTTCAAGCTCATTTATTTAGCTTATGAATCAAAGATTATGGTTGTCATGTCGTTGACAGGGTGGTTTATTGAAGTAGCATGTCTTTTCTTTATTAAAACCCGTACTTTAACAAGTTGGGTTGAGTTTGCAAAATGGGAAACTGTTTTGATTAATTTTTATTATCTTCGGTAGACCATGCTTTGTGCATTTACACGTATAGTGACATGCGGTACTGTACCGGTACACTAGAAAATCTACAGCTGGTCTGGCGAACGTATAGGATGGGATTTACACATATATCTCCTGGGGAAGGGGAAAGTCGATTAGACGGCTAACCGTACTGCGAACCAGGCCTCTCGTCTGGTTACTATTCCATGTCGAGTACCGTACCATATATGGGATTAGATATTTATTTGTTTTCGGAAGCATAGACTTCATGGTGGAGGAAGCCGTACCAGTAACCGACCAGCAGTTATGTTATGTAAACCACCCTACCATGTTTCGATTTTTTTGAATTAGTATAATAATTATATTTTTGACTCAAAATTCTAAAACACAGGTCATGTTAAATTCTGGCCAGGCAGAAGAGCTTAGTTTTGGAAATGATTTTAATAAAAGCACTCCACTTAATCGCCAAAAAAATTTTCAATAGCAAGAATTCTCTCTTACACATTTCAAATGATTAATATACTTTTAACAGTTATTTTAAATAAAGAATGTGGTAATCATAAATAAGTTGATGGATAGAGGTTTTCATATCTTATAATTTTCAACTTTGTTAGTGTTAAATGAAAATAGAAGACATCGCCACAGAATAAACCTTGGTGTTATTGAAAGCCTGTGTTATTGTCGTGGAAACGAAGTAGTATTTGAATGATTCATATGATCCCCTGGATCTTTTTTTCACATTTTGAATTCTACACAGATTATGTCAGGCAGTATAACAAATCAGCTACTACTCTCATTAAAATTTGTGTGTTGTTTTTACGACTGTAGTGTGCTAGCAACAAGTGTTGACCAATGCAACATTGTAGGATGGTTGAATCAGCATCGTCATACAGAAAATAGCCAAACTTTAATATTATCAACAATAGTTCTTGTCTTGACTTAGTTTTTAATTACAATTAAAATAAATTCACGAAAATGGTTAGAATTTAATGGCGGCCAGAATATTTTGTATTAATTCAGAATATATTATAATATACATTATTTGAGTGAACATATTGAAAAAATAAAACAATCCATATTCTGTGTTTAATATACCATATTTCATGATAATATCAAAACATATATATTTCAAGATCATCCTCTGAAACTGATAGAGTAAACTAATTCAATCGCCACAGAATGAATCTGCAACATCATGGCAAATGTTCTCTGGATATTAAAACTTTCAAAAAAGATGTAATGTTTGAATGTGAAATATGCGGAAAACAATACAGTAGCATGGTCGGCAAAAAGCAACACCTGAAATTTCATCTAAAGAAAAAATCTCATCAATGTAATGTCTGTGGAAAAAGCTTCATATCCAAATGCTACCTGGATAATCACATTGTTTCCCACGTACATCCAAAGGAGAAACCACATAAGTGTGAAATATGTGAAAAACAATTTGTTGCTTCAAACAGCTTAAAGAAACATATACTTACCATTCATTCGGAGAACAGAAAGTACCACCCATGTGAAATATGTGGGAAAAAATTAACAACTATACGGCTTCTGAAAGACCATATGATAATTCATATTGGTGTCAAATTGCATAAATGTGGAATATGCGAAAAGAAATTCACCCTTGCTGGTGGTTTGAAAGTGCACTTGAGAGTTCACTCGAAAGAAAAGCCGTATGCTTGTAAGATATGTGGAAAAACTTTCGGCTACAGCAGCAGCCGTAACAGACATTTGAAAACACATACTGACCAGAAGGAATATCAATGTGAAATTTGTTCTAAAATGTTCAGTTGGAAAAGAAGTCTTAAATTGCATATGGGAAAGCACATGCGCGACAAGAGTTATCAATGTGAAATATGTGGAAAATACTTGAATGGAACTATAAGCTTGAAAGGCCATCAAGTTGTTCATAGTGCAGAAAGGAATTATAAATGTCCATTGTGTGACAAATCATTCAAGCGAGCTCACGATGTGCAAATGCATCGTTTACATGTGCACACTGGTTTGAGGAACTATGAATGCAAAATATGTGGGAAGAAATTTACTGGCTCATTCGCGGTGAAAAAACACATGATAACGCACACGAAAGAAAAAAATTTTAAATGTGAAGTGTGTGCAAAACCATTCAAACATCCAGCAGATGTGCAAGCTCATATGTGGAATCACACCGGCCCTAGAGTTCATAATTGTGGAATATGTGAAAAATCGTTTAGATCACCTTCACGTTTAAAAAGCCATATGTATGTGCACAGTGTCTCTAAAAACTTTGAATGCAAAGTATGTGCAAAAAGATTTAAGCATCCTAGAAGTCTGAATGCGCATTCACTCCTTCATACTGGCGCTAAACAAAAAGAGTGAAAATTAGAATAAAATTATTTTTTTCATTCGGGTATAATCTGTATTTCGGGACTCTTTTCAGGCTCTCATACTATTTTAGTATAGCACTACTTGTGGGCCGTCCAATTTCTTTCTACCAATAGGATTTTTGTCGAGGGTGTTACCACTCTGCAATACTACATCATATGGGAGAATTATTGTATACTTGGCTTGTAAATAAATGTATAACGTATATACTCGCTGTCGCACTTGGGATCTGTGAGTTTTGTGCTAAAAAAGTTTAATTTAGAATTGACTCGCACATAAGTCGCAGCGAAAATATAGGGGTTTAAAAGGCCCTTTCCCTAGCTTTTTTGCATAGATAACTTCCTATTTTTTTGTAGGGCTCAATATGTATATGGACACCTGTGAGCGATGATAAGTGCATGTACGCAAGCGCAGACCATACAATTTTCATGAAAAACCAACTCGTTACAAACCTGTATATAATTGCCAGTACATTCAGACCCCTATTTGCACTTAAGTCGAGCGGATTGGTCGCACCAATATTTTTATAAAAAAATATAAGGAAAAAATTGCGACCTATCTCCTAGTTTTTTAAAGCCGAAAGTCTTGTAGAAAAGACTCTGAATTCACCTGCAGAGTCTTTTGCGCCACCCGGTGATTCGCCTTTGTCATTATATATATCATAAACAGAAACGAATGCATTGTAATTATTGACGCAAAACAATTTATCAAAAATAAGATTTTTACGCTATCTAATTGATTTGATGAAGCCAATTTGGTTCCAGGTTTGATAAATAAGCTTTAAATACTTGGTTTATTATTTTTGGTTTAAAATTGTATTAGTTGTATCTAAGTAATGACAGAGTTGGCACTGTTGGAAGATTCAAATAGTGACTCCTTTCTGAAGTGCATAAAGTCGCGAAACATAATAGCAAAGGCTTGGCAATATGATTTCAATAAAACTTTATTTTAACTGTTCACTCCCGATCAATTTGCCATTGGCAAATATTACAAAATTATTATTGTGGTGTGGCGTGGTGTGGCAAATAATTCCCTTTTTTATTATTTTTGTTTACTATGTAATTTACCATGATCTTATCACGTTTCTTTAGTCAATTTCTCTGGGGCTGTGTGTATGTGTGATATAATTTTAGGGGAGTGAACACGTACCACTTCTTATCTAAAGTTTTGTTTGCTATCCTGATTTCACAACCAGTTTTTATCAACCAGAAAAATGTAGATTTTATGGTTTAAATGCCGGAATATGAAATAAAATACTGTTGTTTATAGAATTTATTATAGCTAAGAATTGACTTGCAATGCCGTGTGAGCGTTGTGACTTAAGGCTCTGCCCTAAACATGTGCCACGCGAGACTTGTACAGCACATGACTTGGTCAACTTTTTTTAGTAAAGGATTCACATATTTATCCAGAGGGACAGGAAAGCAGATAACACTGCTTAATCATATGGCCTCTTAACTTGTTACCATTCTATGTTAAGCTGTTAAGCGCTGAGGAGTCCAGCAATCCTCTCACACATAATTATCGAACCTGCGAACACACGCAGGGCGATTGAAGATGCGGTGGCGAGCATATGCCTATTGCTTAGCGTGACGTCACACTGCCGCTAATTATCATCTTGAAACTGTGGCACAAACAGCACATGAGAAATTATTTTCATTCAAGTGAGGGACTATGTGTCTTTTCCCTCCACTCGAATCACTGAATTTCTTTGTGATTTACTGAAGTCAGAAATTCTCTATATCTCTCCATCCAGTCATTTCAAGCCTTACCTGGAACGCATTGGTTTTTGTCTCTGATGATTTGAAAGCGAATTCCCATTTTCATTTTGTCTTTTTATTGTTTAGTTTACAGTTAGAACTCCCCCATCCACTGAATGTTATCTTTGACGCTTTCAGGTTTTCATAGATTTACTTGATAAAAATAAGTTACACCTATTTTCTAATCATTGTAATGATAAACTGTTCTACTGTGATTTTCAATTGAAGCTCTTCATCTCAGCAGAATTCTCAAACTCAGCTGGGTCCGCTAGACTTAAGAGTAAGCCGGTCTTTCTGCCTAGAGTGGTGCTTGTTTTTCTTTTTTATTCCTTTTTAACAATGTTCGTACATAACTCGTACTGTTTTAATCAACATTCAATTCATTCATGCATGTTGAAATAAAGTTGTTACATTAACAGATTTTTATTGCCTGAATTAATATAATTAACATTAAACAATTGATTTAACAACTCTTATATGTCGAGTTTACATATGCAAATTCATACGAAAGGTCATTTCCTATGGAACAAGCTTCATAACAGCATATGATTTGATAAGTATGTGAGAATTCGTATATACTGGAGGAAAACCATACTCTTGTAAGATTTGTGGGAAAGGTTTCAAACAAGCTGGCAATCTGAATGCTCATATAAGAAAGAATTCATACTGGAGAGAAGCCGTATTCCTTGTAAAATATGTAGAAAATGTTTTACAGGATCAAGTGTTTGGAAAAAACCTATTCTTGTGAAGTATGTTGAAACAATAATTTAAATCTTACGGGAGAGAAACCATATTCCTATAAAATATATAAAAAGTGCTTTGCACAACCAGGTCATTTAAATGACCATATGCGAATTCATACTGGAGAAAAGCCATTCTGTTGTAAGACATGTGGAAAATGTTTTGTAAGATCTAGTTCTCTGAGAGTCCATATACGAATTCATACTGGAGAGAGGCCACATTCGTGCAAAATATGTCGTAAATGCTTCGCAGCATAAGGTAGCTTGGATATGCATATATGAATACTTACTGTAGAAAATCCATATTCTTGTACATCATGTGGAAAACATTTTGTTGAATCTGCTACATTGTCAAAACATTTGAAAATACATGGCAGAGAAACGACTTTAAGATGCAGAACCTACAATATTTTAGTTTTGAAATATTAATCTAGTACTTTAACAGTGCGCAAGTATTCTTTATTTCAATTCATTCAAGATAAACAAGTTGCTGGAGTTTTATTGTCTTCATATTGCATCATGCAAATCATCTTGAAGTTCAATAGAATAGATATATTGTTTCAAATATTGTGTGTTATATCGCATTTGCTTTAGTACTTTAATTGTAAATAAGTCTAGATAATTTTGTATTGAAAATCCTGTTTTTTTGTGCTGTCAAATGGACTGATGATCTGAACATTGTCTGCAATTATCTTGCTACGGTGATTCTCGATTTGTATTGAAGCAACATTTGATTTCTTTCTCACTTGTCATTTAGATTTATTACCCATTTTCAAATTGGTAAGGCTCTTTCAACAATATTTCATATTAATTAGGTTTGCCATGCCTGGCGTTTATTCAAATTTTTAAATATTACTTCCACCAGATCATGTGTCATTTGTTCTATTTCTTTCACTATTTGTTACCACTAAAACTTACACTGTTACGACCAATGATTCTGGCGCTGATGATTTGAGTGTGAAGTATGCGGTAAACAATACTCTATGAAAGGCAACAATGAAACCTCAGAAAACATTTTGCGAAGAAAACTCACGAATGTAATGTTTGTAGAAAAGGATTTATGTTCTAATGTGAGCTGGATAAGCACATTGTTTGCCATGTCCATCCAAGGGAAAAAACATATAAATGTGAAATATGTGAGAAACAATATTTTTCTTCAAACAGTTTAAAGAAACTTATACTCATTCATTCGGAGAACAGAAAGTACCATACATGTGAAATATGTAGGAAAAAATTGACAGCTATGAGTCATATTGGTGTCAAATTGCATAAATGTGAAATGTGCAAAAAGAAACTTACTACTGCTGGTGGTTTGAGAGTGCATTTGAGAACTCATCCGAAAGAAAAGTCGTATGTGTGCGAGACATGTGGAAAAACGTTTAGTCGTAGCAACAGACATTCGAAAACACATACTGATCAGAAAGAATATAAATGTCAAATTTGTTCGAAATTATTTAGTTTCGAACAAAGCTTAGGAAAGAGAAGTTTAGGAAAATCAGTCTTAAATTGCATATGGGAATCATATTATCAATGTGATATTATTTGACTGGAACTCATAACCTGAATAATCGTCCATTGTGTGACAAATCATTCGAGCTAGCTCACGATGTGCACACTGGTTTAAATGCAAAAACATTGAATGCAAAATATGCGGGAAGAAATGTAGCAAATCGTATAACATGAAAAGGCACATGATAATTCATACGGTGAAGGAAACAAATTTCAAATGTGAAGTGTGCGCAAAAATATTTAAACAACTTTTTGTGCAAATTCATATGTCTATCCACACTGGCCTGAAACTTTATAAATGTGAAATGTGTACAAAATCGTTTAGAACAATTTCAAGTTTAAAAAGGCACGTGCGTGTGCACAGCGTCTCCAAAAACTTTAAATGTGAAGTGTGTGCGAAAAGATACAAGCACTTTGAGAGTCTATATAGACATTCACTCCTTCATACCGACATGAAACGAAAAGAATAAAACCACATTAATACAATGTGGTTTATAATTCAGACTTACTGTGCCAATCAACTCTTCGTAAATTGCCCAACTTCTTTCATGATGATTTTATCGCGACAAGTGACAGGCCCTAGAAATGCCTGTTCCCTGTATTGACCAATGAGTGAGTTGTATCGTTTTAAAATTACTGATTTAAAATTTGAGTGTGTATTTTTAATTTATCTGTTTTTGGATTCAATTCGATTGTACATTTCTGCAATGCAGACGATTCGGCATAACAAATACTTTGTGTGTTTATTGACCTCTTGAGGAGTCAGATTGAAGTTTTAATTCGCTAATGTCATTGGGAAAAAACACGCACTCCTATAACGGCCTAAATAGTACATTTCTCTTACGAAAGCAGATTTTACTCAGACTCCGCTAATACGTCACTGGGAAAAGAACACGCAGATAGGCAGGAAGCCCTCGAAACGGTATAAATAGCGCGGGTGGGAGCGTGACAAACTTTTGTGCTGCTCAGGGTGAATTTCTAATAATGTTGCCTCTTATACTTAACTCAAAATTGATTCTGGGAATGAACAGATTATAGATGTTGCTATACACGTTCACCCCTGTTTACAAAATCTATATTCAATTTGGAAACGTTTATAAAATCATTAAAATGGTGGGGCTCTTATTTTTTTTATCCTTTACTGCAGTGGTTCGTGGAATCTTGCGCTTGGGATTGCCTGACGAGGTTTCTGATATTAGGCACCGCCTTTAATATAGCCAGACCAATGTCACTGTCAACCTTGAGACGGTTTTGATGCGAAGAACCATATTCGCACAAATAGGTTGTGACAAATTGAACAAGCTTTCCTCTCCCCCGGGATAAATATGTGAATCCTTATCTCGCAGTGTAGTGAAACCGCCCGTCTGCAGGTTAGACGAACTACCAGCTAACTATTTTGATTGGTGGATTTCAAATTCCATTATGATCAAACAATTCACGCACAAGTAAGTGAATACACCCAGTGATCGAAAATAACCTAAATGAAACTGCGGTGAGCGCCAAAACGGGGAATTTTATTTTAGAAGGAAATTATGCAAACGATGTCGTCTTATGTTGATTTATTAGCCCTGTGTCCTTTGAAATCGTGTTTTCAATGAAATGATTTATCTCATCAAATTTGCTGAACACTACGAATTTACCAAAATGACCACGCGTTAGGCCCATTTCTCATACAGGATGTAATAAGCTGACAATACCAAACCTAAACGATTATCAAAATTTATCAGCCTCTTTCAGATGTTAGTGAAAACTTATAAAAAGCATTTATCGGCGCGAAATTAAATAGGCGCCGTGTACAGTCAGTTCCAGCGACACCAGTTTATAATTCTGGAAAGATGTTAGAAATTGAATCAGGCTTTCGATTGAGAGTTTGGTGTATCGATTTCGAGAAAAAAATTCTATTCGCACAAATGACACAATTTATTGTTGTTCCAGACTGCCTCAATTTCCGCCTAATATTATGAAGCACGCGCTCTCCTTTGTCATTGCGTTTTGTGTCTTCAAGCACTCTTTACTCGAGTCACTATTCGACCCAACAGCGCTTATATCAAGCAGAATTTGCGATATTCCGGAAGTTAATCCGATACTGCTACTACAATTTTGAACCAGAAATAATAATACATCTCTTTAGGCTTTAAGACTTAGGAGCTGAAATAATCAAATCAATTAGATAGCGTAATTGTCGATTGCGTTTCACGTTAATAAATAGAATGCGTTAAGAGTTCGTTTCTATTTGTTATCTATTAAATTGCGTTAACGTTCGCGCCTACTTTAAATTGCATCGGTATATATATTCCTCAATCTTATATCATTATAAACAAAAGTACCAAATATAGAAAGAATAGCGAACCAATTTGATGAGCCTCACTATTGATTATTGCTGAATATAAAAGTTCATGTCATGCACACTAAAAGTAAAGTAATTTGAATAGTCAGTTAGTACATATAGTCTGGCAGATATGGGG